TAAAAATACAGAAAGAAGAAAAACTGCTTGCAATAGAAAGTTAATGACAGGACTGACAATAGTAGGGAACAGCTTAATATATTTTAAATCAGAGTTGGATTAAGTATACCATATTGTTTAAGAGACTTAAAAATTCATACCAATTTAAAATATGAAACTTATTGCTTTATAGCCTGGAATGAGATACAATGAAGAGACAATTATAACATTTAACAGTTAACATAGGTGCATTTAAGTTACATGTATGAACACACACACAGAGTGAACAGGAATTGGGTGAAATGGATGCTGTTGGTGGGCCCTACCAAAGGCATGCCACAGCACAAAACACACATGCAACAGAGTCAACAAGAGAATTTAGAGACAAAAGCATAAGTAAACCGGGGTACTAGGCAAAGAATACCTCTGTAAAGATGACGGGATTTGGTTATTTGTCCTGGCTCTCAGTTAAGATGGTGGTGTAGTCACCTGACCTCAAATAAGATGGCAGTAAGGTCACCCATGCAGCAGAGTTAACACTGGGGAACCAGGAAGGGAATACCTCAGCAAAGATGACGAACTTGGTCACCTGACCTGGTTTTCAGCCAAGATGGTGGTGAAGTCACCTGACCTCATTCGAAATGGCAGTAGTCACATGTTGTATGGAAAAGCCACAATTTTTGAGCTGCAGGGATTTTAAGTTTAATAATAAGAGAAACCTAGAGGTGTGATCTGTGCTGTTGCTAAGCCATCATACCACAAGCCGTGGCAGGGAGAAAAAGCTGAAATTGAAAATAGCCACCTCATGGATCCGACCAATCTTGCTGGCAGCAGTAGCGGTGGCAGGGACAGGTTGAAGAAACTCCTTCCATTTGCCTATGCACTGACAATAGTTAGAAGGCTTCCATAAAAGTGGAGCCAGTGGGACACTGGAGCTGAAGAAGTAGGGCATTAAGACCTGGAGTTTTAGGACCTCTAAAAGGCACCCATCCCAGGGGGAGGATGAATTGATGGACAAGAATCCATAGCAGAAACCATGAAAATCTGTGAAAACGGCGACACCACAAGGCCTATAGGAAGACATCTCTCCTCTATAGGTGGGGTGTGAATTGGCAGCAAACACCTCAGGGCTTGTAGGAAAGCGTCCTCTGCCTAATTGGCTCTGGTTTGGGAGATTTGAGAGCCAGAGAGGCCAGAGGCCACTTTGACCGGCCTTTCACAAGGGGTAAAAAAGAGAAAAAAGAAAAGAAAAGAAAAGGAAGGGAAAGAAAAGAAAAGAAAAGGAAGGGAAAGAAAAGGAAAAACAGAGAAAGAAAAGTCTGAGGGATCCTGGGCCCCTAGTCGCAGGAGGACTGACCCCGGGTCATCCAAACACAATTTTAGCTAAGGGACGCAATCCAGAGATGAATGTCAGCAAAGGGCTCAATTGTAGCCATAAGGGTCGCAGTTGGGAGCTTTCCCCTCATTTCTAAGAACACCAAAAGATTGCCAGAAGCTCAACGGTCAATTCCTTAAGTTTGAAGAAATAGTTAAGCTGACCAGAATCGGGAAACTCACCAGTTGAAGCTGGTGGTTTGCAGGAGGCAATGTGGAGAGCCTGGCCGAATCACAGCACCAATGTAATGGTTTAAGTAAAATGCTGCGGATCTCCTGAGGGCCAAAACGCTGTGGATACCCAAGTGGCTGTAGCAGGCAGTGGTCCTGAGACCACGCCACAGATCCCCAAAGTGGTGGCAGTGGGCAGCGGACCATGAGACCATGCCGGGCCATGCTGCGTGTTCCTGCGTGGTTGCAGTGGGCCACGAGTCCCAGATCATGGCAGGCCTCGAAGGCAGTCGGGTCCCAGGTAGGAAGCTGCGTGGTGGGTGAGAGACCTCAACGGGGCAATCAGTCCCACAAGGAGAGACAGATGAATGGGCATGCAATGAGACCACACTTCAGGTCTCCAAAGGCAGATGGTCCCGAGCAGCAAGCCACTCAGCAGGCGAGAGACAAACAGATAGGCTTGTCATGCAGAGTGAGGTTGGATATTTATTTAGTGTGTTATGGAGGGGAAAGGGGAAGAGAGCAGAAGGAGGGGGATGAGAATTGGGGAGAAGAGAGACAGAAGCTGCCTCTTCGAGAGGGAGGTGGAAAATAAAGGATTCAAGCTAAAACTGAACATCAGCTGCCTCGGTGGACAGGGGAGGGAGTGGGCATGGCTTGTCTCTTAAAGGGACAGAGCAAACCATTACAGTGTTAACATTTCCTTTCCTTTTAAAAGTCTTCTTTCTTTTAATTTTTATATTCACTTTAGCACATTTTTCTGATATTTGCCATAGAGGTGCTCCAAGTTTTAAGGTGTATGTATGGTGTACTATTTTAGATTGTAGTGTAGCTGACTTCCTTTAACATTTTGTTTGAATGGTGAAACTTGTTTTCCTGCCCATTTTCCCTCTTTACTCCTCTACTACTTCGGTGGCTTTTACTTCTTAAAGATAAAATACTTTCTACTACCTGTTAAAATAATACTGACTAAAAATGTTGTTTATTGATGCTAAATATGATATTATTATAGGCATAAAGTTGTAGAAGAGGCCTGTATGGCTAATAACTTATGAATATTTTCAAGCATACCACAAACATAATAGAAGTCCACATGATTAATGCGAAAGAGGAGCAGACTTCAAGTGTTTTCAGATAAGTGGAACCATCCTCACTTGCTAGTCTGTACCAGAATCAGTTCAAACACTAAAAAGAAATTCGAGAAGATTGGTAGCATCTATGTAACTTTTATAAATATGAAAGTACTGTCTTTGATATACAGAAAATAAATATCTCCTATGACAATATAGAATGGTGTACTATATTTAATAAGGACATGATTTTATATGTGGAAGCATGTACTATGTTGTTTTAGTATACTGTATACAAGCCACTACTTAAATTTTACAGTTTGATTTATTTATTCTTATTCTTGATGAAATTTCATTTTCTTCTAACTCTTCTGTCTTGTTGAATGTATTTACAGTATGTTGATGATATCCTTCATAAATTGGGTTCTTTTTGTTTTGTTTTGTTTTTTCTAGACAGAATTTTGTTGTAGCTTTGAAGCCTTTCCTAGAGCTCACTCTGTTGTCCAGACTGTCCTCAAACTCAGAGATCCACCTGCCTCTGCTTTTCAAGTGCTAGGATTAAAGGCATATGCCACCACCACCTGGCTAGAAATTGGCTTCTTAAGGGGAAGAATCTCACATTGTCAGATAAATGTGGCTGATTGTGTTGGCCCACACCTGTAATCTCAGCAATCAGGAGGCTCATACAAGAGGATCAGAAGTTCAAGTCCAGCTTGAGCTACATAGTGAGAAGCTTAGAAAACAGCAAAAATGTTCCATGTAGTCTTGGTTGGCAGTTATATTAATGACATTTCTGGTTACATTCTAAACTCTTTAAAGTGTTTGAGATTTATTTATGATCCAGAATGTCATCTTGGTGAACATTCTGCATACTTGGAAAACCATTCACTTTCTTGCCTAGTGGGACCTTTGTCATTATTAATTAGATTATATTGGTTCATAGCTTGTTAAAGTCTCTATTCTGTCTCTTGATTCTCTACTTATTCAGCAATTATAAAATGATGTTTAAATCTCCAAATTGTCTGTTTTGTTTCTTCTTCTGTACCATTGAGTTTTTGCATTGTGCATTTTAAAATTTTGTTATTGGGCACAGAAATTTTAGGAATTTTGTGTCTCTATGTGACTTTTTTCTTTAGAGATTTGGTCTCACTATGTAGCCCTGAATGACTTGAAACTCACTGTACTGAGCAGGTTAGCCTTGAACTCACAGAGATGTGCCTGCAATTAGCATTTTTATCCTTCATAATCTTTGATTACAAATGTCCTTTTACTTAAGTAGAACTATACTGCCCTTAAATTGTTTTTCAAATTATGCTAAAATTCAAGTATCTTGTTATCGTTTTGTGTTTGATGATTTTTCAAGTAGTTTTTTGGGGGAGGGCATAAGGCTAGTAGATTGAGTAGAAAATAATTTAGTAAGAGGAAAAACAAGCCAATGAATATTAACACACTGTAGTCATTATGAGACTGATCATAATACTTTGGTGGGGCATGAATATCCAAGGAAATTTCTTTCTGGTGATGACAACTGAATCTAAAAAGACAGCTGAAAAATGGCAGCATGGAGAGAATTGGTCAGAGAGCATGTGCAAGCTGAAAGGCAACAGTATCTTGGAAGGCTAAAACTTTCTAGAATACAGAGAGTGACTAGATGTGGCCAGATGTGTTAGGAAAGGTTATTGCTAGATTATATGAAGCTTTTTTTAATGAGATTTGTTGCTTTAGGTTATTAGTATTTATTTACTTTGTTCGCTATGTGTTGTAGGAATAACCCAAGAAGACAGAGAATATTGTTGTGATCATTGTAAAATAAGGAATTGAGAGAGTGTAGAAGTATTTCATAAAAAGCTCAAGGCTAAATAGATGGAGATAGAATTTTATATTGGTTATTTTGGAAGCTTATAATAACACAGTTTTTTGTATCTAACATTTTTCTAGGCTGTAGGAAAGTTTGTATTTGACCTTGTATACAATATAGAGCTCTTTAAGGATTTTTAGGTAGAGACATAAAGTTTGTGTTTTGTGTTTGTCCAAATGTTGAAAAGGAGTTAGAGAAGCAGAGCAGTATTTAATTTTTATATAGTGTATAAGCTGAGTTTTCCAGGAGTTTAACGTCTGTATTTTCATTCCTTTACAGCTTAAGTGAACATAGTAATGGTTTCCATATTATAGTAGTAGATAAAATAATTAAATGGAATAAATTAGTAAAGATTCAGTGACTTTAGCTGTGATGAGGTTGATGATGGCCTCAGTAATGATAGATGAATTTTTTTACCTCAAGCTTAATTTTAATCATTAAAATATTAGAGATTGTCTTGTATTACTTGCATACTTTAGGATGTCATTTTTCAATGAAATATTAACTACCACTTTCTGTCTCCTACTATTATTATTTTTATTTTTCAGTTCATGGGAAAACCAGATGGAGACTATTATACTCTGGATGACATGTTTGTCTCCAAAGCAGCTGAGAAAGAGCATCTTGGAGAAAGGGAAGAGAGCCAGAGGAGGAAAGCGATTGCCGAACACCAGAGTCTTACTGCACAGATGGCCAAATGTCTGTACTGTTTTGATAGTTCTCAGTTTCCCAAGCATCTTATTGTTGCCATTGGTGTCAAGGTAAGAAATAAAACACAGACAAAGTACACGTCAGTATATGCAAATTTGTTCGCTCTTCAGATTTTTAGAAAAATTTTTTAAAGTTTTTATTTATCTTGATTTTTTATATGTTTTTATTTTCTAAGTTACCATAATTCTTAGGGCCTTTGATAGACAACATAATTCTATTTTTTTGAGAATCTAATTCTGGCTCTTCTGTATTCTAGATTTATCACCTAATGATTGAATTGAAATCAGCATTAAAATCTTCCTTTAGAGTCTTTTTCTAAAGCAGCTTTCATTTCTTACTTCCTCATAGAGTGTATTTGAATTCTTGTAGACTGTGTCATAGTTTGAAAACTTATTGAAGTTATTTTACCTTGGTTGGGTTTTTCCCAATGTCTTGAAGCTTCTGGAGTACAGAAATAGATAATTTTGCTCACCGTTGTATTCCAAGCATCTTATCTTCACAGTATATCATAATCATTTACTCAATAAATACTTGTTGATGACTACTTTTTACATTATAAAAGTTAGTTCATTTAAAAAAGTTTATTCTTTTAAGGATTTGGTGGAGCAGTATTATTGAGAATTTAATCTAGGGCTCCACCTAGGGAAGTGCTCTAGGTAGTTATACTTCTGAAGCTTTTATTCTATTGAAATACAATCAAATAAGCAAATTAAACTTTACTGTGGTTCAGAAGGATATTTTCATAAAGTGAGGGACAAAATCATGGAAAGTGTTATTTTGAAAACACGATCTAGAAATCTTCTTTGAGGCAACAGCGAATGGAAAGCCTTGATAGGGAACAGAGAAAAGAGAGACACCTAGAGTAGCCCTCCTGTAATCCTAGCACTTGGGAGTCAGAGTCCAGCAGATCTCTCACCTGGAAGCCAGCATGATCTACAGAGAGTTCTAGGACAGCCAGGACCATACAGAAAAACCCTGTTTAAGGGAAAAAAAATACTGTAGTGGATTAAATGAGAATGGGTGACTGAATGAAGAAGTTCTAGTTTTAGGAAGTAATAATTTAGGGAACATTCATATTTATTTTTTATCTTTCTCATCACTCATATACATATGAATATCTCCTTGTATATAATAAAAATAGTTCTGGGTTATAGATAATTCATATATGTAAATAGAGTTTAACCATAAAGGAAAGCTATCCTGGACTCATTTTCTTTCCCTTAGTTGGGTTAACTCAGTTTTCTCCCACAATGAGAGAAATTGCTGATACACATATTTTAGACTCAAGAAAAGAAAACAAAAACAAAATTTTTTTTTTTTCTAGAGCCAAACTTGAATGACCATAGCCCAGAAACACTGATTTAGGTCATCTCAAGTTCCGTATTTCAGGGTGGTAGGAATTTCTTAATGTTTTTAGAATTATAAATCAAGGAAAAAACCCACCAGGACACTTTCATATATGTTTATGAAAACAACAGGTAAGTAAGTTATAGAACAGCCAGGAAATCTCAGCAATCTGAAGCTTTTAAGCTTTTTAGACATTCTGGAAGGTTTGCCTGTTGGTCACAGGGATGTTAGGGCTTACACGAGAAGGGAAATAAATGACTATCTATTAAGGAGTAAACGGTTAGCTCAGGGTAATTTGGTTTTTGACTTCTAGCACATTAGGCTCCTCAACAAGTACAGCTCTGTCTGGTTCATTAGCTCTAAACAGCAAAAGGTGCAGTTCTTCCAAGAATTTCCATTCATAAAATTTACATTGTGTCTTTCTATTTTTCAAAAATTGTTGTTTTCAGTGTTTGTAAGTATATAGTTCCCTCAGATAAAAGATCAAGTGGCATTTGTTCTGGTTCTTTCTTAGTAAATCTTAGTTTTTGATGTCTATCAATGAAAACTGAGACACGTGCTCTAAATTTCCAGTTTATTAGAAACTATTTCTGTGACGTTTTAAGTATAAATAGCATCTTTGAGAGTATTGAAATAAAACTAGTTCATAAAAGCAAATCTGCCTTTTTAAATAGTCATGGTTTCACTACTGTATTCTTATCTGTTATAATCATAACTAAATAACTAAATCATTAAAATTTGCCCTAGGTTTATTTATGTTTACCCAATTTCCGGTCTCTTACTGAGGGCCACTGCCTCATAGTCCCTCTACAGCATCTTCAAGCAGCTACAATGTTGGATGAAGATATCTGGGAGGAGATTCAGGTCAGTACTGTCATGCTCATTGTCTGCAAGGCTCATGAAGAGGTTTTGCAAATTATTATGATAAATTTAAACAACGTTTGATATCTCTACTTAACAATTTTTAGGTGTCTATAAGATCATTATGTTTCCATCTCTTACTATTATTTTCTCCACATTCTTGTTTTGAAATCTTTTGTTTACTGAGGGTACTAACAAAGTAATTTTTAACATGAAGGGGCCTGCTTGTTAGGGTATCTGTCCTGCCTGGTACCCCACAGCCGGCAAGCCACAAAGAAAATCACATAGAGGACTCCATAAGATTATCAACTGATTGGCCCATTCACTCAGGCTACTTATTAGCTCTTATAACTTATGTTAGCCCATTATTTTTGTCTATGTTAGCTACCTGGCTCAGTACCTTTCTCAGTGGGGCAGCTTACATGTTGCCTCCCTGGTGGTCTGGGCAGAACTGCAGAGGGAGCTTCCTGCTTCCCAGAATACTCCTGGTCTCTTTGCTCTACCTCTACTTCCTGTCTGGTTTTCCTGCCTGGCCAATCAGCATTTATTTAAAACATGATTGACAGAATACAGACAATTCTCCCACACCAGTGTACAATTCTCCACACTTTTAAAAATCAATTCTATTTATAATTAGTGCTTTGTGCAGCTTGAGATAATAATTCTTACTATTAGAAGAAAGAAGTTCCAAAGAATGAAAATATGTGGAGTCAGAGTTTTACAGGTAGCAATTACTGTTTGCCCTCAGACTATGGTGATTGTGCTGCCATATCAACCCCCGTTTCTTCTTGGTTCCCTTTATAGCATACTCTGGCAATGAAGTCACTTACATGAATTATATATTTTTGTGGCTGATACTTTGAGAGTTTGAAAGGCATAGCATAGGTTAAATTGTTGCTGAATTATTTCAAGACCTCATATTGACTAAGAAAGAAAGCATGTTAAGTACTGTCAGCTGAGTTGAGGTTTCAGAGACCCAAGATAGAAAATGTGAAGTTGTAAGCTGTCAAAGGGATGGCAGTATATATTAGTTTTAGAGAATATGGATAAAATGCCAAAAAAAGAATATGTTTGCCTGCATTTTATGAAATGCAGTCTCTTATTTCTTTGCTTTTTGAGGTTGATACTCCAAAAGTTCATGGAACAATTATGTTGTTTTGTCAAAAGCCAAACATAATGAGCAACAAAGACAGAATATTTTTGATGTGAAAAAAAAATTGGAAGTGTTAGTGACACTAGGTAATTTTATGTAAAAAAAAAAAGTGTGTAAACTTGGTCTTTAGGATTATTGGAGGACTTTTCCGAGGTGCATTTAAAAATATATAACAAATTGATTTAACTTACAATAAAATACAGTGCAAAAACCTTCAATTACAAGAATCTTGTATGTATGTTATATTTTTTTTGTGAGGAATTAAGGTAAGTGGTGAAAAACCTCAAGGTGGTTGAAGCATTTTTTCAGTGCCCTAGGAAGTCAACATATGAACATAACATTTTAGGTGCTATACCCAACGGTATACTGTTTTCTACTATAGGTTGCATTCTAGAATAGTGGTATTCTAGAAAACTGAGCAAGAGAGGAAAAGCCCATCTGTATACAAATAATGTCATTGTAGTTCTTGTAAAAGGAAAAACATTAGACATTGCACACGCGTGAAGAGTGGCGTACTGAGGTGCCTGCACCCGTGAGACTGAAAAAGCACAGTACATGACTCTCAAATTAATTATGCTCTGGGGACGGTTTATTAGATATACTTTTGAAAAGTGATTTGACCTAACAGAAAAGTATTGTTTGAAAATGAAGAAGCTCCTTTTCAGTGATTTTCTTTGTAAGTATCTGAAAACGCTGGTTTTGACCTTATGTTTGGCAGAAAATGTTCAGATAGTTTCATCAAAGCATACTTGAACAACCACAATTGCAAATGAGAACGATTCAAATTGTTTTGTATTTTTTAGTTGAAGAAAATTTTGCCTTTAATGCAATTGATTATCTCAAATTGTTCCATCTAACCAGTAGTTTTTGAGATTAAAAACCTTTGTGAATTTAGAGTAATTTTTGAATATATGTCTGTCATATTTTTCCCATCTTCTAGATATTTAGGAAATCATTGGTAAAGATGTTTGAAGAAAAAGGATTGGATTGTATCTTTTTAGAGACTAACATGGGTATGAAAAAGCAGTATCATATGGTTTATGAGTGTATTCCTCTCCCAAGGGAAATGGGTGATATGGCTCCCATCTATTTTAAGGTATTTATAAACAGTTTTTTTTGTATATTTTTATTATTTTCACATTCAATTTTGGGTGAATATATGTGTAGTAATGTACTTTTTAAAATACAATCATACCAAATTTTATACAAAGAAATGAGGTAAGCATAAAATACTCTAAATATATTTCTATATAATGACTTTTGAACTTTTTGTTTAAGGAGGCTTGCTTAGACCTATAAATAAGCCATCACCAGTGACTTACAGTTTCTGTTTTAATGCCGCTAGTGAAGTCATTGTTTTACCATGAGGTACTTCCAAATATAACTCTAGAAAAATGATCTCATGCAGTTGTAAATTGGGAATAACAGCCTATCCGACATACTTTAAATTGGATTTAATTGAATGTTAATTTCACCTTAAAATGTGTTTCCTTAATGGTAGCCAAAAGTAAAAAATAAAAGATTATTTTATAAATAGTACCTATACTATTTAACTTAGGAAGCCTTAAAATTCCATTTCTATGTATTTTTATCCTTACTTTTAAAAAGTAGACTTTAGTTTTGAGAGTAATTTTTCTCAAAATGTTTACTACCAGTTGTTTGGTCCTAAATAGTTTTTGATACTCACAAATAATATACATTTCTTTTTTTATTCAGAAGGAGACTAGTAAAATGAACTGATTTGAGTAGATTTCTATGCATTCAAAAAGAAATTTGTGTTTATCTTAAATTATTTACTCTTCTCAAGGATAGCTTTTTGTCACATGAAGTTGAGGTGGTCACTATAGAGTTAGGAATAAAACAATATTATCTCTGACTAAAATTTGGTCTTCAAAACATTAAGTAGTTCTAGTTTTAAATCCTCTAATTAAGGCTTTTACCCATTCATAACAAGTCTGTCCTGTGCACTGAAATCTGTATTCACCTACAAAACAAAGTAACAAAAAAACCTGTCTCTTTGTGTTTGCTACTCTATTGATTATTTTTCTTTTTTGTTTTGTTTTTCAAATGGTTGTTTCCTAGAAAGCCATAATGGAATCTGATGAAGAATGGTCCATGAATAAGAAGTTGATTGACTTATCTTCCAAAGATATTAGAAAATCTGTGAGTATTAAGTTTTCTGTAATAAGAAATTACTATAGTATGGGAATCTTTGTAAATGTGAATTCTCTTGTTTGAGAATTAGGCCATTTGACTGAGTGAGTAAAAGTGAAGCAGAAGTACACTTCACCAAGAAAGTGTTTTCAGTCTATGCGGTCTATAAAATCTCATTTGTTTATAGGGGATTTTATTTGTTCAAATAATTTTTTCTTCCTGGTCCTCAGCCTCTTCCCCTTTTATTCACCATAATCAGCTATGATGGCCAATGGATTCTGCTGTGACAGCCTCTCAAGAGAACACTTTTGTCACTGGTGTTTTAATGTAAGGAGCAGTTTGTGTTGGCTCCATTTTGAGTTTAGAACACCCTAGCTCTTTTTCTGCCCCCTCTTTCTTCCCATTCCATTAAAAGAATATGTGTGCATATGTGCATCTGGTCTTAGCCTTCTACTGTTTTAGACAGGGTCTCTTGGTTGCTGCTATATACACTAGGCCAGCTAATGTAAGCCTCCAGGGATTCTCTTGTCTTTACATTCAGTCTTGCCATAAGAATCCTGAGGTTATAATGTATGCTACCGCATCAAGCTTTATTGGGTTCTGGGGAACCCAACTCAGGTCTTTTCACTTGTGTGGCAAAGACCTGCTAAGCCATTTCCAAGACCCCAGATCTGTTTTTTTATATAAAAGTTCCCTTCTACATTCCTAGAATATACTAGTTGGGTTAGATTCTGTGTTTGCCACATTCATGAGGATTTGCTAAAGGATATATTGTTCAGTTTTGACTTTTAAGTCAACTTTTAGATGCAATATAGTAACTACTTCTCTAATGACTATCATTTTGTAGAAATGGAAATTAAATTAAATAGAGATTAATAAACATAGATTGCTTTTGAATTTTCTTTTTAAAATAACTCATTCTGTTAGTGTTCATTGCTTGCCTGCAATTTACCAGCTCTGTTCTGGGCATGCTCTGTGTAGTAGATCAGAACAGAAAATGTGATTGCTTTTGTGGAGTTTACTATAGTGAAGGCTGTCAGTTCAGCCTCTATGCTAAACCCAGTCTTCCATACAGAATTATTGTTTTTTTTTTTTTAAAAAAAATACAGCTGTACTTGCATGTAAATTGCCCCTGTAGGTTTTTCATGCTGCTACGGGTTCAATAGTCTACCAGAGACTACATGACCTGCAAACCATAAAAGGCATTTCAGCATGAGACCTTTTGACAGAAAATGTTTGACCACTGTTATTTAAGTAGATACCCTTGGAATATTTTCCCTCCATTTCTGCTTTTGGAAAGTCAGACATCTTAGTCAAAACTCATGGATGGCTAGCATTCCCTGTCACACTAACAGCCAGTCCAAAGATGTGTATTTCATAGTACTACTTAAGGTATAGTTTTACTCAGAGGTCAGTGTTTTGTCTGCCATCTTTTTCTGTTCATTCCCTAGACAACTGGACCAGAATTTTAAGGAAAAAAAAAACATCCTAAGTGTCTTGTTTACTCTTCTTTCTACTGACTCATGAAAACAGTGTTTAATGTACAGTTTTTGTTCTTTTTTCTTTATTATCCATTCAAATATTTACACTTCCACCCCTCCATCCATTCCCCTTCCGCTCGCACCCTCACCTTCCTCCCACCCCCTCCCTCCTTAAGATAGGGCAGGGTACCCTGCCCTGTGGGAAGTTCAAGGCCCTCCCCGCTCCATCCAGGACTAGGAAGGTGTGCCTCCAAATAGGGTCCCAAAAAGCCAGCACATGCAGTAGAAACAGGTTCTAGCCTTTAACAATGACTTCTCAGTACACCCCCATTGGTAGGCACATTCAGAGAGTCCGGTTTGATCACATGCTCATTCATTCCTGGTCCAGCTGGATTTGGTGAGCTCCCATTAGATTAGGCATACTGTCTCAGTGGGTGGACCAACCCCTCATGGTCCTGACTTCCTTGCTGATGTTCTCCCGCCTTCTCCTCCTCATTTGGACCTTGGGAGCTCAGTCCAATGCTCCAATGTGGGTCTCTGTCTCTAACTCCATCCATCGTCAGATGAAGGTTCTATGGTGATATGCAAGATATTCATCAGTGTGGCTATAGGATAAGGCCAGTTCAGTCACCCTCTACTCTGCTGCCCAAGGATCTAGCTGGGTACATCCCCTTGGACACCTGGGAACACCTCTAGAGCCAAGTCTCTTGCCAACCCTAAAATGACTCCCTTAATGTAGATATCTTCTTCCCTGCTCCTGTATCCGCCCTTCCTCCATCTCAACCCTCCCACTCTCCCAAGCTCTCCCCAGTCTTTCCCTTCTCAATTCTCTCTCCCCCTTACCCCTTCCTACATTCCCACCCCAACCCCCACCCCCATGCTCCCAACTTTTGCCCAGCGATCTTGTTTGCTTCCAATTTCCAGGAGGATCTATATATGTTTTTCTTTGGGTTCATCTTATTATTTGGCTTCTATAGGCTTGTGAACTATAGGCTTAATGTACTTTGTTTATGGCTAGAGTCCACTAAATTCATCTTTTTTGGGTCTGGGTTATCTCACTCAGTAAAGTATTTTCTTTTTCCATCCATTTGCATGCAAAATTCAAGATGCCATTGTTTTTTACTGCTGAGTAGTACTCTAATGTGTATATATTCCACACTTTATTTATCCATTCTTCCACAGAAGGGCATCTAGGTTGTTTCCAGGTTCTGGCTATTACAAATAGTGCTGCTATGAACATAGTTGAACAAATGCTTTTGTAGTATGATAGGACATCTCTTGGGTATATTCTCAAGAGTGGTATTGCTGGATCCTGAGGGAGGTTGACTCCCAATTTCCTGATAAACCGCCACACTGATTTCCAAAGTGGATGTATAAGTTTGCATTTCCACCAGCAATAGATGAGTGTTTCTCTCCAGCATAGGCTATCATTGGTGTTTTTGATTTTAGCAAGTCTGACAGGTGTAAGATGGTATCTCAAAGTTGTTTTGATTTGCATTTCCCTGATTGCTAAGGAGGATGAAGATGACCTTAAGTGTCTTTTGGCCATTTGAATATCATCTGATGAGAATTCTCTTTTCAGTTCAGTACCCCATTTTTTAATTGGGTTAATTAGAATTTTCATGACCAGTTTCTTGAGTTCTTTATATATTTTGGAGATCAGACTTTTGTCTAATGCAGGGTTGGTGAAGATCTTTTCCCATTCAGTAGAATGCCTTTTTGTCTTAATGACAATGTCCTTTGCTTTACAGAAGCTTCTCAGTTTTAGGAGGCCCCATTTAGTCACTGTTGCTCTTGTTATCTGTGTTACTGGGGTTATACGTAGGAAGCGGTCTCCTGTGCCCATGTGTTGCAGTCTACTTCCCACTTTCACTTCTATCAGATTCAGTGTGGTCGGATTTATATTGAGGTCTTTAATCAATTTGGACTTGAGTTTTGTGCATGGTGATAGATATGGATCTTCTTTCATTCTTCTACAGGTTGACATCCAGTTATGCCAGCACCATTTGTTGAAGATGATTTCTTTCTTCCATTTTATAATTTTAGCTCTTTTGTCAAAAATCAGGTGTTCATAGGTTTGTGGGTTAATATCCGGGTCATCAATTCAATTCCATTGGTCAACATCTCTGTTTTTATGACATACCAAGCTGTTTTCATTACTGTAATAGAGCTTGGTGTCTTGGATGGTAATGCCTCCGGAAGTTCCTTTATTGTATAGGATTGTTTTGGCTATCCTGGGTTTTTTGTTTTTCCATATGAAGTTGATTATTGTTCTCTCAAGGTCTGTGAAGAATTTTGTTGGAATTTTGATGGGGATTGCATTGAATCTATAGATTGCCTTTGGTAGAATTGCCATTTTTACTATGCTGATTTTCCCAATCCAAGAGCATGGGAGATCCTTCCATTTTCTGGTGTCCTCTTCAATTTCTTTCTTCAAAGACTTAACGTTCTTGTCAAATAGATCTTTTACTTCCTTGGTTAGAGTTACCCAAAGATACTTTATGCTATTTGTGGCTATTGTGAAAGGTGAAGTTTCTCTGATTTCCCTCTCTTGCTTCTCTATCCTTTGTGTATAGGAGGGCTACTGAATTTTTGGATTGATCTTGTTTCCTGCCACATCATTGAAGGTGTAGGAGTTCTTTCGTAGTGTTTTTGGGATCACTGATGTACACTATCATATCATCTGCAAGTAACAAAAGTTTGACTTCTTCCTTTCCAATTCGAATCCCCTTGATCTACTTATGGTGTCTTGTTGCTATTGCTAGAACTTCAAGCACTAGGTTGAAGAGATATAGTGAGAGTGGATAGCCTTGTCTTGTTTCTCATTTTAATGGGATGGCTTTGAGTTTCTCCCCATTTAATTTGATATTAGCTGTTTGCTTGCTGTATATTGCTTTTATTATATTTAGATATGATCCTTGTATCCCTAACCTCTCCAAGACCTTTATCATAAAGGGGTGTTGAATTTTGTCAAATGCTTTTTCAGCATCTAATGAAATGATCATGTTTTTTTTTCTTTCAGTTTATTTATATGATAGATTTTTGTATGTTGAACCAGTCCTGTATCTCTGGGATGAAGCTTACTTGATCATAATGAATATTTTTTTTGATGTGTTCTTGGATTTTGTTTGCCAGTATTTTATTGAGAATTTTTGCATCAGTGTTCATGAGTGAGGTTGGTCTGTAATTCTCTTTCTTGGTTGAGTCTTTGTGTGGTTTGGTATCAGGGTAACTGTAGCTTCATAAAAAGAGTTTGGCAAAGACTCTTTTGAAACACATTAAGGAGTGTAGGTATCAGCTCTTCTTGGAAGTTCTGCATTAAAACATGTGGTCCTGGGCTCTTTTTTTTTGGTGTGGAGGATTTTTTATGACAGCTTCTATTTCCTCACGACTTATAGGTTTATTTAAATTGTTCACCTGGTCTTGATTCAATTTTGGTATATGGTATTTATCTAAAAACAAGTCCATTTCTCTTACCTTTTCCAACTTTGTGTAATATAAGCTTTTGTAGTAAGACCTAATGATTCT